AATCGACAAACCTTCAACGGTCGAGTTGAAGCGGAAAGGCCTACTCGACAACTCGGCATGGCCCTTAACTTGTACAGTAGGTCTTTAGTAGCTGTTCATGTATCAACTATCATGTGTATGGAAAGGAAGAGCCAATAACGTTCGACGTATCTAAGGCTTGAACAATATTGTGAACATGCCAAGCACAATCTTACCTCTTGCCTCTCGTTTGACATTTAGTCCCCCACTCCTGTACATGGAAAAGTTCCACGCCCCAATAACTTAGTTTTGATGGCGATTGGGCAGCTTAGTGCCTCCGATTTTTTCTTATGTTCCAAATATTCACTAAATTCAGACTAAACTGTTTGCATGGTTGAGTCGGAATCAAAGATAGTATAGCGTCCTGCGCTGCGCGGGGATATACATGTACTATCGATTGTAGGTCAACTCACCCCCATGGTTGACTTGCCCCTTACCAGCTCACCCTTTACCGACTCGCCCCCTGATCGACTCGCCCCTGATCGACTCGCTCCCTAGCCGACTCGCCTCTAAGTTATCCAAGCACGTATGGCCGGCCCATTCACCATTTAATAAAAAACACAATTTCGGATAAAAAAAATGGTACATACATGTATTAGGCACAATGTCTGGCGACGCAAACCTGTGGAAGTGTTAAGGAGACATGATTTATGACAAAGGGGTAAGTTATTATTATTCTAGTCAGGTATAACTAGATAGAGAAACACCAAAAGGAAATTGACAAGATTGGAATGTCTTTTCAACTATATCACATCGTTTAATTAAAAAGCTACCGGAAGAATATACGTTAAGTTACTAGTAAATAAATTAAAAACACTCTAAAAGATATTCAATTCCAAAAAAGGAAGAAAAATACAAATATCACGAGTTAAAATCACTCCCAAAAATATTACGAAAATAAATTTAAACATTTTGGGTTGACTCTGCCAGCGCTTGTCTGAACTGGGTACATAACAACAGAAATGAATATCGGGTCACTACAACAAGATTAGTCTACTTGTGATTAGTGGTGATGTCCAAATATTTATCACCGTCCGGGAGACGTTCGTGTCGCGTCGTTGGATAGAACCATTTTTTTTAATACATTGGGCCGGCCATATTTGCTTGATGTTCCTAGGAGGGCAAGTCGACCAGGAGGCGAGTTGGTAAGAGGCGAGTCGGTCAGGGGGCGAGTTTACGAGGGGGCGAGTTTACGAGGGGGCGAGTTGGAAAGGGGCGAGTTGGTCAGGGGGCGAGTTGACCTGACACCAAGGGTCCAGTCCACTAATTCAAGCCCATTAAAAACAGTGTAAAATCAGCACTGTTCAGGGCCCAGTAGCATGCACGCTAACATCCCTGAGATTTCTGAAACACAAATTAAATTCTTGTC